TGTGTTCTAGATGGTAAATCACAACAGTAGAAAGAGTTTTACAGACATTTTACTATTTGATGAAAAATATTAGCTCATTTTGAATTTAATGGCAGTAATGTGTGTCAAAGTTGGGGAAAAGTAAAAGAAACAGTCAGAAGAACATTTAGCAACTAATTAGGTTAATTGCCATCACTGTGTTAAAAACAGACATGATTCGGGCACGGAAACTACTTCATGGGCTCAGGAACACTTCCTGTAATCACTGTCTGTGAATACTTTATCGTGCAAAGACGAAGCCATACGTGAACATGAACGCTGGACTGAGACAGAGTGGAAAACTGTTCTGCGGTCAATCAAAGTTTGAAATTATTTTTGGAAAACATGGACACTGCATAAAGAGGTGAATTGTTGAGTGCCAAATTGTTATACGCACTCAGTTCAAAAGCCTGCATCTGAAATGGTATGGGGGTGAATTAGTGCCAACGGAACTGGCAAGTCACACAAGGTACCGGCATTGCTAAAAGATAAAAACAAAAAAAGGAAAGTGGCAGTAAGCGTCAGTTTCCTTGGTGAAAATGCCTTGTTGATGTTACAGAAGACTGGTCAGACTTCTTCAAGCAACATAAACTCAAATAGCCACTGGTTACAACCAAGGTATGCAGAAGAGCATCTCTGAACACACGGCACATCAGACTGTATCAGCAGTTTAGGCTGCTGCTGGTGCTATAATGATGTAGGGGATATTTTCATGGCATAGTTTGGGGCCTCTTAACACCAACTGAGCATTTTTTTAAGCAGAGCCTACTATACCTAAGTACTTACCTGGTGCTGGGCAACCACACAGTGGCAGCACTGAGCACAGCAGGCAGTCCCTAAAACAAAAGAACTCGTAATAGAGGCGCAGAGAGCTCCACTCCCATCTCATTATCAATGGAGAACAGGTGGAATATGTCTCCACCTTCAGGTTTCTGGGCACCCACATCTCCACTGATCTCACCTGGACCCACAACACCAATGTTCTAGTAAGGAAGGGCCAACAAGCTGCACTTCCTCCATGTCCTCAGGAAGAAGAACCTGGACCACAAGCTGCTGCCAGCCTTCTCCCTTGCTTAAATGGAGAGCGTGCTCTCCTATACTGCCTGGGTTGTTTGGTACTCAGTTGATAACTGAGGAAAAAAAGGCTGTGCAGTGTAAATTAACACTGCCCAGAAAAATCATCTACTACCCTCTGCCACCCCTGGAGGCTATCCTTAAATCCTCCTGTCTCAGGACAACTAGGGTCATCACAGGTGACCATTTGCACCCCACCCACCACCCGTTTGCCCCACTGCCCTCTGGTCGGTGCCTCGGGTCAATCAGGTCCCACACCTCCAGACTCACTAACAGCTTCGTCCCCTGGGCCATTCTGTTAACCAACACCATCGCCCCACGCAGAACTGAAATGACAAGCCTGTGGCACCAAGATTTCAACTGATGAAAATAATGTCTAAATTAATTCAAAGTGGAATATATAAAACTTATATAATATATTGTATAAATAACAAAATTAAACTTCATTCTAGTTACAATAGTAAATGTTAAAAAGACTAAAATATTACACATAGAGCTCATAATATTCCAGTTTTCTTCTGTTTTTAGTCTTCATCTCTAATCTTTCATCCACAGCTGACGCTGATCTGTTGAAGCTTGCGCAGGACAGAAGCTCCATCAGCGCCACCCACAGGCATGCGCACAGAGGACGGCACAGAAGAAATGCTGGATCTCATTTCTGCGACTGACAGTCATGAACGGACACATTTTTACACAAATGAAGGAACACGCTCTGTATATGATACTATGTGCTCTCTCCTGAGGGACCATATCATGCTGGACATTGAAGACACCGACGTCGTCTGCCTCACCCGACTGACATGAATTAAAAAGCATAATTTACACACGGATTTAAGTTTTAGGTATTATGTCTAATAAATATGCTGCACACATTTTCAATCGCACTTCCAAGGAAATGAATGAGGAAATGAAGCGAGTATAACAATCCTTTATTTAAACAGTGTTACACAGGGGGGGGAGGAGTGGCTGTGTGGGGGGAGATACAAGACATTTAAGCTGCTAGACAGAAAAAACCCTACTGGTGATCACTGGTTAGCTAACAGAGAGCAATGAGGCAGCTGGTAGGTTTTCCAAAATGAGTTTCTGTAAAGTTTCCTTTGTTTGTGTGAGTTTTATTTTATTAATAAAATATAAAAACTGTGCTGGTTTCCCGTTTCTCCAGAGTGTGAAACAAAGCCTGAGATTTAAGTGTTCAGAGGATCCTCCAATTATAACCTGCTATGACACCGTGTGGATTTAACGTTCTCTGATGTGGCTTCACAGGCGTAGAGGTTGGTAAAACTTTTCTTGGTGTAACCTAACGTAACGTGACACATTTGGGAAAATCCGATTCCGCAGCCTCAAAGCTCATGTGATTGGTTAAGAGAGCCCAGAAGAACCCGGAAAAGCGGTTAAAGCTTGGGGCTAAACGTACAAAAAGGAAAACAGTGGCAGAAATTTCCATTTGTAGTGGTTTTCAAAAAAAAAACAACGACACTGCAACAATTTTACAAATATGCAAGATGGAGGGGGAACAAGAAATCCCACCTTTAAACAACTAGATCACAGAGAAAAGATGAGAAATTATGAAAAAGAAAAATCTACAAATGTGGTCACTGTGATATTACCAAAGGCTTTTTTTCTGTTTGTTTGTTTTTTGGAACATCAAAAGCTTCCAAAGCTGCCTAGTGTTGCACGGTTTACATTTTTATAAAGAAAAAAAAATGCTTTTCTGCTGCTTTGTCTCTTTACAAGAGGGTTCGAGGTTAAAGCTTCCCCCTCGTGGAATGTCATTTAACTGCATAGTAGAGCTCAGACCTGCGTTTCCTGATTTTAAAAAAGCTTCAGCTCTCAGTTTGATGAGCACGCTTAACTACAAAAGTTTTAAAATGGGTCAAATTGGGCAGTGATTACTCATCAGGTTAAAAAGCTGATTAGCAGTTTTTTCTTCCTTTTTTATTTCTAAAAATGAAATAAAATATCCTTTTGTCTCCCGTTTAAAACACGTCCAGTCAAAGAGGGAGACGTAGATTAATCCAGACCAGTCTAAGGTGGAATGTTTATTATACTAAATCAGTGGCACTTCTTCACTTACAATCAGCTAAATTTCAGGAGAACATGACTTTGCCTTTTTTGCTGCTTATGCTAAAAATGCGCGTCAAAGTGAATGCACGAGACCAAGCGCCTAGCACATTTAATGCCCCCAATATTTACACAAAGCTACAATTTAGTTCACTTTCTTTTTTTGTTTTTTTGCAGAGTAAAAGGACAAAAAATGAATAAAACATAATGAGTTTCCATTTAGGGGGTGTCAAGAGCACTTCAAACCCTCTGATACACTTCCCTTTAAGCTGCATTTTGGCTGGTGCGTTGTAACTTTTGCTTTTTTTGTCTCAGTTTGAAGTGCGGTGACAGATTCAGAGCGTTGCGTTTTTTTGTGGCGAACAACGTGGAAATCGGCTGAATGAAATGTAACCAAAATAAAAACAAAAAAGACATGCAGAGAAACGTTTAGCTGCAGTGAAACAGTTACAAAGCAGCCCGACGCGCTGTACGAGCAGAGATAGTCCACACGCTCTCAAACCAATTGACGTGGTAGCGTCCTACCTAGACTCACTCGAGACTCCTGGAAGATTAAACTGCGTGAAGACATGCTGAATTTAATCCCATACTCTATCATATCAAGCAGGTATGAAAAGAAGCCGGCGATGAACTGAGCTAAACTACGGCAGCAAACGGGCTCCTTGGCAGAGTTAGCAGGCTGCATTAATTTGAGTCTGAGCTGCTTTCAAGTCGTCCTCATTTTGGTACCTGTGCTAGTTGGAGCGCAAAACTCATTCTGAATAATTTAAATAGCAGTATTAATTTTGCATTATGCATTAAGCCTTCAGAATATTAAAATACTTCACTGTGGGATGCAAGAAAACATGCATTATTATTCAAATTCTCTTTTATTCCCTGGTACTTATCAGGCAATCTCCCAATTATCCTTTACTTTACAGCTCCAGTTTCCCAATCCAAAGTCAGTTTATGTCTCCCTCGCTCCCCCTCAGGCCCAGCGGGAATGGTTAGTATCGTACAGTGGACGAGCCTGGGGAGTGAAAAGCTGCTCCCATTGATAACCTTCATTTTTACTGTGCAGAAGTTGTCATTTTCAGTTCAAATCCACCTTCAGTTTAGCTTAAAAAAAATTTAAAACTGTAAAATTGATGGAATTTATTCCACCTACATTTTCGAACTGCTGCTGAAGCTCGCCTATTTAAAATGTTCAAAACCCGTCTCTTCTTCCAGTTTAGCAAAAAAAAGTGAATTGAACTGAAAATGCACTCACTCGGCTGCTAGTCACACACAAGGAATGTGGATGAATAATAACTATACAGGGAAAAAAAAGAAATAACAGAACCAAAAGACCTGGATGACTCTCCTGCAGATGTTGAAGTTACAGCTCCCACTCTTCTCTAATGATCAAGAAGTAGAAGTGATAATGTGAGGTGCAACGTTTCTACCATTCACCTGTGAATATGTGGGAGTGAGTGTGTTATACTAATTTTAAAAAACAAAAGAGCAGACCAAGTTGTGACACCCTTCCTTCATGTTCCTTATAAACTATTATATTACTCTCCATTTACATCACCATGAAGCAAGAGGGGGAGCTGTAATTTAACAAGTTACCTTTCTATGCCAACGCACCGGAACCCAAGTACAGGTGCATAACCTCACTGTTATGATAAAAAGCTTTCTCTACTTGAGCATCTCAGCGTGCTGTTTTTGTAAGAAACTTTAGCTGAAGGTCATCAGTACTGGTACAAAATAATCAATGCAAGGATACAGTTTCATCCAGATTGGTTATCAGTGCATCCCTAGTTTCATCTTTGTGATAGAAGACAAACATGCTATCATCTGTTTATAAAACAGTTACAGAAAAAGCACAACTAAAAAAATAATAAAAAGCTACAATTGTTATGCTAACAAAGTGGTTCTTTTTGTTCCCTCAGAAACAATGAGAGATTTTTTTTTTATTTTTCTTGGTTTTGCAGTGAGGGATTTAGATCGCACCACAGACAATAAGAAAGGAAGAGAGTGGCAACTTCGGTCCATTTGTCAAACCCTTCTCTCCCTGTTCTTTAAGCTACTCTTCTTCTCCTCCTCTCCCGTCAGTCAAGGCCGATCGTCGTGGGTGATGAAGGTCGTTCGACAGAGAAAAAACAGTCACGACGGGCCCTTCAGCTCTGGGGAAAAAGAGAGGGGGAGGGGGTGGGGGAGTAATCAGCCTGGGGCACTGCGATGATGAAACGACACTGGTTTCCTAATCAAAATGTTCTCCTTGTAATCTAATGCCTCTTTTCCCTTTTTCTCTTTTCAACTGTTGCAGCATGTGTGATGGCAGCTGGTTTCTTTAGCAGCTTCTCCATATGCACCACTAAATAAACCTTTCCCCATCAAATATAAAAAGATTAATAATAATAATAATGATGATGATGATAAGCTACTATTTTTATCATTACCTGAGTTCAGTCAATCCTCCTCAGCCAGCTCAGTTTCTTTATGAACCACCACTCTGGTAACAGACATGTCAGGATGTTGCTCTTTGGCCTCCTTAATGGCCTGGGCCAGTGCCTGCAGTACCGATGGGCAACCACATGGTGGAAGCACCGAGCACAGCAGGCAGTGGAGGGGGAAGGGGGGGGGAAATGGTGGAGTTAAATGAAAAATAAAAGAAGAAGCAAACAGAAAAAGACATATGTGCTGGATTTACAGTCAGTGTGCCATTTTACTTCTTCAGATCAAGTAAAATGCATTTAGAAGAAGAATTCACTCAAATAAAACCCATCTCAGTGATATCCAAATCTGTTGCTTTTGTGTAAATCCAGCGAATTAAACCAGACAGGCAACTTAAACAAAAAGACGAGCATGCAAAGAGATGAAAGAGACATTTACTGTCCCAAACATTTCAGGGCTACATGCAGTTTGACATGAATTCCCATGAAGTTATTCACACAGGTGAAAAGATCTCACATGGAGTTTTCCATATTATCTACTGGAGATGGCAACCTGCTAGCAACCACTCTCAACAAATGTTGCGCTGCCTAAGTACCTGTATCGCTACACCCCAATATGGACAATGAGACTTTTGGTATTGCTTTTTAAGTATCTGAATTTGGCAAACAGTGTACAAAAAATTGCCAACCTCAGGGCCATGCATAATTAAGAGATGGCTCAAATTAAGGCTGGCAGAATGGATCAATTACTTTTGCTGGGGTCTTTAGGAAGCTAGTTTAAAGTATTTAAAAAAGATCAATTTTCATACATCTGGACTGGACTAAGTGAGATGTGATCTCCTCTGTGCAGTGTGTATTTTACTGTTCTCTGATTGTCACTGAGGAAATGTGACAATCACAGAAAAACATAGTATGTGAAATTAGTCGCTGCATGAGGAAAAAAAAGCAGTATACATGAAAAGATGTGGTGAAGAAGTCACAGCAGCAGATTCCAACAATGAGTGGAATATGGGTGGATCTGATGGCGTGTGTCAAATAAGTGATTCAAAAATAAAACGTAGCATTAAGACTGCAAGTAACATGATTGACATGTCCCAGAAACCCATCTATTCCCTTAAATCTTCTAAATGAGAGAAAATTATTTCCTTATGAGTCAATCTGCAGAACAAGGATCTTAAATTTAAAGCTGCCAAGTTTGGACTTGGATGTGGTTTATTCATCTAAGATGACTCTTTTAGAGACTTTCACACCATCCACGTTTGGTGGGAAGAAAAGACCCCATTAGCCAAGTTGTTGGAACACGAGGCGAAGCAGAGGGGAAAGGCTGCGTCACTGAAAACTGACCTGGTCGTGGTCGATGTCACAGTCTCCAGTAATGACGATGCGTTTTTCAATCCTCGTCTCTGACAGACCGCCCTTTAGCGTCTGCAACAAAAGATCATCACATTTCAAATTGGGCAGTTTGCAAATGGCTGCAGTACAGCATTTAAATTAAGATAGGGGTTATGTCACAAAGACACAGGCTCAACAGAAATGAACGTGTGTGTGTTTTGGGGTGTGTGTGTCTGTTCGTACCTTGGTAATATGTGTGGTTGTTGTAGTACACAAAGATTCAGAGGTGATTGTCTGAGCAGTCATCAACACTCCAGGCTCACCATCACCATTACCATCCAACTGAGAGAGACAAAAAGAGATCATTAGCTGATGTTTAAAATAAATAAATAAATAAATAAATAAAACTTGTTTCCTGTAGGAGCAGAATGAAAAGATGGCGTCATGCACTGTAGCTAGAAAGGAAGCACTTTGGAACATGGAGTATGCTGACGTAGCAACGATCGGTCTAAATATTTCACACAAACAATATGAACCACGGATGGTGACACACATGGGGAAAAACTAAACAAGCTTCTCCGTTTTCTCTCTCTCTCGTGTTTGCACCTGCGCAGCCTCGTATGTGATGGTCTTGGTTTCCGTATGTACGATGGGCACTTCTTTAGTGGCTATCTCGGTTTTCTGGGCTGCAAACGTGTCTGATATAGTCACCATTTCTGTCTTTACCACAGGCGGCTGGGGAGGGAGCAGAGAGAGGAGTGAGGAGGGGGGGGAGGGAAGAGAGTTAATATATTAAACCTGAGGCAGACATGGGGGAAAAAGAAATTTTTATCTATGCAGTTGACAAATCTGTCTTCAAAAATCATCTTCTATCATCATCATTTTGAGAATATTTTTGTGCAGGAAACACCAGAACATGTAGATGTAAACAGCACATGTGAGCCACTGCAGCAAAACTCATGCACAGAAGCAAGAGCTCCAAAAGCCATGCAGACAAAACCATGAGAAACACAAGTAAGACAACATCTGCAATGCAATGTAATAAAAAGAGCTACGGCAGAAGGACAACTATGGAGATATCTTTGGCGTTCACATGCAGCCTAACACTGTACCAACGTGCATAAAAAAAATGAGCCAATATGACAAGCGGGACTCAAAGAGCTACTATAATGTAAACAAGATGCAAAGATGAGTGGTTGGCAATGATGATTTCCACAACACTGTCACTGTGATGACCACAACACGCCAATTAAACAGAAAGAGGAGCATCACTGCCAAACACGTGGAGGGTACGCACATATCAAAATGCAGCATGCAAAGCAAAAAGCAAAACAAAACAAAACAAAAACACACCTAACAGCATCATGCATTTCCCACTTAGGCCCCATTTACTTCACAACACTAAAAAAAAAAGTAGCAACACACCACACTGCGTGGGACATGATAATGGTATGAATGGTATCTGACAACAGCAGATATGAAAGAAAGTCAAATGTATGTTTATGTAAATTAAAATAAAGACTGAAAATATTCATGTAGGTGAATCAATATGAACACCAAAGCAATGGTGGTGAATTGTAACTTTAAAGCACTGCTCCTTGGTTTCGGCAGTTTTGAGCATACTAATATAAAGCTTTTATTTTCATAGGATGTAGACGAGTGTGAGGATGTACATGGGGCTTAAATATTCACACAAGCAGGAAGGAAACCGGCGCTCTCAAAAGCAGGGAAGGAAAAAAAGTGGGTGTTTCTATAGTTGGCAGGAGAGGGATCAAAGCCCGGGGAAGCTCCGCAGTCGGCCCAGTGAAGACTTTACCTCAGAGCAACAAATAACCTGTGGCAGCGGATCTGCTTCAGTGAGCGAGGGCTCTCCATTCATTTTAGGCTCCTCCTCTTCTTCTGCACGAGCATCCATTACAGTCACACCCTCCTCAGGCAGGGTGAGGCCGTTAGGAGCTTCATCGGGCGTCACCATCGGATCATCTGTGCTCTCCTCAGTCTCACGCTCAACTTCTTTCTCTTCCTCGGCATTCGTTGTCTTCTCTGTCTCTGTGTCGTCCTCCTTCCTGGACTCCACTTCTTCTCGACGGGTTTCTTCTGCAGGCTTGATGACTTCAGCTGGAAGAGAAGAAGCATCTGAAGCCAACACCTGCAGCTCTGGCGTCTTATCTTCCTCTTGCTTCTCCTGATCTTCTTCCTCTTCCTTCTCCTCAGGTATTTGTGTGTGAGAGATGGACACAGGGAGATATGGATGGTACTCTGCTTCTTCTTCACTCTCGCTCTCAGATGAAATGCTCTCTTCCTTCCTCGGCTTTGCTTCCTCAACTACCACCGCTTCCTCTTGAACTTTCACTTCCTGTTCCCTCATTTCCTGCTCCGCAGAAGGAGCAGCGGGGGTACTGGCTGCAACCGTGACAAGTCCAGGTTTGGGAGCTCTGGAAATCTCTTGGACGACAACAGTTTCCTCGATTTCAACCTCGGTTGTCTACACACACACACACAGACACACACACAAGCACGCATGTACACCCGATTCACAGACACAAACACAATGAAGTGCGCAAACACACATGCGCACACACACACCACAACAACAAACGCATGGAGACAAGAAAACAAAAGAATAAAATGATCATTGAACATAAATGGGAAAAAAATTAAGCTAAGTTAAAAGATAATAAAGTAACACCAAAACAGAAGAAGATGAAGAACTGTTGACAAAGACACAAGAAAGGGAGGACAGATAATGAAGGGTGTAGCAGGAACAGAAAATTTAAGCTGCAAGTGGAAAATGAATGAAGGCATGAAGAAAGTAATGGATAAAAATTGTCATGAATGTAGGGTTGGAGGAATTAATAGAAGAAGGTCAGGACCACCTTTGCGGGTTCTTTGGTATCAGAGATCGTGTTATCAGCTGTTGCTGCTTCTGTTTGGGGCACACTGACCTGCGTGACAGAGAAGTTAGCATGACATTATTAATCACACACCATCAATGTTAGCAGTATTACAATGTCTGTTATCACAGCATGTGGGAATGGGCTGCCTTTGTTATTTGTGCCCAATCCCCCTCACTTTTATTGGCTCTTATTCTGTGCCTGGTGGACTGTTTTTTCATGCAACCCCCATAAAGCATAAGGTTCCCTGAAGCAGGGAAAAGAGACGGGATAAAAGGACCAAAAAGAAAAGGTAAAACAAAAAGATAAAAGATGGATTAAAGAGAATACCACATCCATAAATAAAAAAAGGTTATCTTCACATACATAAAAAGGCAAAAGAAGCGTGGTATTGAAGTCAGCAGTGTCTTTGAGACAACCACGAAAATACATCATAATGGATTCAGTCCTCACTTGAAAACCTTTTTGTGTAGTTTTAAAAGCTCCTTTAAAAAAAAGCCACTAATCAAGCACATTATTTGGCTGCCATTTCAGCTTTTCTTTTTACATTACGAAAGCTGCTGCTTCAATACCTGCTGCTTTTAATATATTTATTTTTTAAGCACAGATCATAAAACGGAGCAGATTAGTACATTAGCATTAAATTCACACATATTTACAAACACCAGCAAAACAAAATAGGAAAAATAAATGTTAAAAAAACAAAGCCATGCACCCATTCATAGATGAGTTGGTTTAGATTAAATGCATTATGGTCATTGTGTGCCCGTTCTTTTGGGATGAATGGAGCCGTCACAAACTAATTATCGCTACCATTCATCCGGCATCTACAGCAGGCATTATGGGCATCTTAAACCCCTTTAGTTTGTAAACGCATCTGGCAGGCATCCTTGGATACCTGAAGAATTACAAAGCATCAGTTTACTCTCAAGTTAAACAGAAAGACGATTGGTTAAAGGTACAAGTGACCCTAAAATCAAAAATACATGTATTTCTTCTAGATTGTAGTTTATCTAGCCATATCACTGTGCAGAAGGAAGCATCTACCTTGCTTTGGTTGGTAGGTGTAGTTTGGTACAAAGAAAATGGCTCATAGAGTTCACATCCAGGTGAGTAAATGTGTCATTATTACAATTTTGGTGTGTTGAGCAGCTCAAGCCAAGTGCAGTTGATCTATTATATTCAAGAGGGCAGAAATCTTCACAGCCAAGACAAAGTAAACAGCACTACAGCCTAGAAAAAACATGTATATTTGATTGTGGTATTAACTTCCCCTTTAACCAACAATCCTGAGTAGTTTATGTTTTTGAATTAAAGTAAAGCGACTCCTAAATGCTTGGTAGTAGCAGAAGCACCTCAGTGGCAGAGAGGGCAGTAGATAGGGTTGCAAGAGGCCTTTGTGGTGCAGAAAAACTGCAGACAGCAGCGGAAGAAGAAGAAGCAGCTGAACTTGTAGTTTTAACAGCATCTAGTGGTGGTTCAGGAAAAATGCAGGCAGCCTTAGCAGTTGAATCAAGTCCAATGTCAGTGTGTCTACTGAAAAGAACTGATGCTATCTCCTCTGCAAGACTCTATAGCAACACACAATAAAAAGGACAGAGAGAAGACACACAGAAGCATGAACAAATGAGACAGACGATAAGATCTTATATAGGAGAAAAGAAGAAGAGAAATCATCCTCAAAAGCATACAGA